GGGGCGAGAAGGGATGAGCGCAGGGAAATGCAATTATCAGGACTTAGGCTTGGCTTCAGCTGGGGACAAGGACGCTCAAGGGCTGTACAATTAGTGAATCCTTCCCGGCAGGGCAGCGTCCGATGCTCGGCAGAGCTTACTCGGTCGCCTTTGTGTTCTGCTAAGCAAACAAGGGATTTGTAGATCCAGGTGGGGCAACCGTGTTGGTCTGTTGGAGGTCCCACCTTGAAGGCCAATGAAGCTTTATTCCAAACTAAAAGACGCCTGCTCCTTGGGAGGAAAGCGATGGCGAACCTAAACAGCATGATAAAAAGTAGAGACCATCACCCTGCCCACAAAAGTCCGCATGGCCAAAGCAATGGTATTCCCAGTAGTCATGTATGGCTGCGAGAGTTGGACTGTAAGGAAGGACGAGCGCCAAATAATAGATTCTTTTGAACTATGGTGCTGGAGAAGACTCTTGAGAGTCCCTTGGACTGCAAGGAGATCAAATCAGTCAAGCCTCAAAGAAATCAACCCTGACTGTTCCCTGGAAGGCCAGATAATGAAACTGAAGCTCAAATACTTTGGCCACCAAATGAGAAGGGAGCGCTCGCTGGAGAAGAAGACCCTGATGCTGGGAAAGACTGAAGGTCAAAGAAGACGGGGACGGCAAAGGATGAGATGGTTGGACAGTAGTGTCATCGATGCAACGAACATGAAGTTGAGCCAACTTCAGAGTACGGCGGAAGACCGGAAGGCCTGGCAGGAGCTGGTCCATGGGGTCACGAAGAGTCGGACTCGACTGTGTGACTGAACAACAAAAAAAAAGCTTTCGTGTGCAAAGCACACTTCTTCAGACAAATTGGAATAAGATCTCCTTGAGGGTTACTTACAGGGGGAAAGAGGGTGGGGGCTGGGGGCAGCCGTTAGGAGGGGCCACTGGATCGGGTGGTGCCGGTAAGATCAACGGATGGCAGCGAATTAGCACGTAAATGCAAGGGTTAGCAAAAAGATGTGAGAATGAAGCGAGAGTCCAGCAGTACCCCCAAGACCAACCAAGCTCAACCCTGTGTACACGGGAGAACAGAGACTCGGCGTGTGCACACTTCTTCACATACATTGAAACGGATTTCCTCAAATATTACATGCAGGTGTGTGTGTGTGTGGGGGGGGGGTTAGTTGGCAGGAAGAGCTGACAAGAGTCAAGATGCAGACGTCACTGACCAATAAGTATAGCTAAGGTTGGAATCACACATGTAGTAAATAGCAGCAAGTTGGCATACAGATAATAAAGGAGTTAACAACAGATGTGAAAACCAAGTTTTGAGCCCAGTGCTCTCCAATGCCCCCTCTAAGCTGTTGTTGTGTCCGCTGGCCGCCACCGGGGGCCAGCGAGTACCCAGGGCTTGACCCTGGGTGGACAATGGGAACTGGTCTCTTGGTCTCTCCAACGGGGAGCCAATAGAAACGGGGAGGGAAGTTCGAACCTCCCAATGGGATCCAGGGGTGTCCCCTGGATATGTATATAGTTGACCTCCGGGCCGTTTGTCTTTGTCTTAGTTGTGTAAGACTCAAGCGTGCACCATGTTATGGGAGCTGAGTGGGCCTAGCCACGCGGTCAACCCACTACACAATAGCTGTGGAGTCTTGTGAGCAGAAATTCTGCTTTGTGAGCTGCTGGCATTAAAGTTGCTGCATAAATTTGTGTGCTCTGGAGCCATCCTTCATGAGCTAAGACAGCAATGTGTGAGCCGGAGGCTAAAAAACTGTGAGCTAGCTCACACTAACTCAGCTTAGAGGGAACACTGGTGCCCTCTATAAGACCAACAAAGTTTAATTTCTGGGTATAAGTAAGAACAGAATGACTTAGTGTGTGTAGTGAGATAAGAAGCCGATGTTTCTGTTAAGCCCTGGGGGTTCCATTGTCCTGAGTGTTGCAATAACAATCTCCCATTCCAGTCGGTTTCTGAAATTCTAGGGTTGCTTCTATGTGAACAGGAGGCATGTTTGATGATGATGCACCTAGAGGTGCATATTAAAACTTAGGACACCTAGCCCATAAAGAAGTTGAATAGCATCATCCTGTTATGTTGTTCTTTGTTCCTGAGGAAGGACCAGGGGTCTGAAACACTATGAACTACCTAGGAAAAGTGTTGGATATCTTCTCCGGACCTGACTGTTTCCCTTCATGGATTTTGTGGGTTTTTCATTCCCATATGTAATATTTGTTACTGATATTGGTTATTATATGCTGCTTTTCACTTTATTGAAGTCTCTTTTTGTACATTTATACTTGCTGTCCCTTGCTGTATCAGACTGTGTGCTGTATTGTTTGTTGCTTGCCACCGGGAGGTTGGCAACCTATTCCTAATCGGCAGTGAGCACAACACGTACACAGAAACCCTTCCCAAAATCTATTTCCTGCCAGACCAGTGAGTATGCTTTCACATGCTGGTGCTCTACATGTGCATGGTTTCCTGGCGGTCTCCCGTTTTAGAAATGCTTTTACGGCCCAGGCTGACCTGCTAACAGTGTCTTGTCTCCGTGTACTGACTAATGGGATTTTTTAGTTTAGCAGAGTGCTCAAGGCACAAGCGGCAAAGCCCATCTGGAGTGTGTGTGCTGTCCAAAGTTACCCACGGAGCCTCTTTATCTTTGTAAAACTAATAAAGGTAAAAGGTAAAGGTTCCCTTGCTCGAAAGTCAGTCGAATCCGACTCTAGGGTTGCGGTGCTCATCTCCGTTTCAAAGCCGAAGAGCCAGCGCTGTCCGAAGACGTTTCCGTGGTCATGTGGCCGGCATGACTAAACACCAAGGCGCACAGAACGCTGTGACCTTCCCACCGAAGCGGTACCTATTTATCTACCCTGTTTCCCCGAAAATAAGACCTACCCAAAAAATAAGCCCTAGCAGGATTTCTATGCATTTGTGGTATAAGCCCTAGTGTGTCTTCTTGAGAAAAAAATAAATATAAGACTGTCTTATTTTCAGGGAAACACGGTCCTTGCAATTTCTTGCTTTCGAACTGCTAGGTTGGCAGGAGTAAAACTAATAGTGAGTCCTTTATTGTAACAAATCCCGTTCTAGACAGGGTTGAGTGGAGGCAGGATTCTAGTCTAGTCTAACTCGCTAAGATCAATTGCTGAAATACAAGTTATTACAACACTTGGGACAAAGACCTCCCCAGGACTCAACAGGGATATTGGTTTCTTATCTTGAGAGCCAATTTGGTGTCGCGGTTAAGTGCGCAGATTCTAATCTGGGAGAACCGGGTTTGATTCCCCACTCCTCCACTTGCAGCTGCTGGATGACCTTGGGCAAGCCATGGTTCTGTCAGAGCTGTTCTTGAAAGAGCAGTTCTTGAAAGAGCTCTCTCGGCCCCGCCTACCTGACAGGTTGTGAGGAGGGGAAGGGAAAGGAGTTTGTAAGCTGCTCTGAGACTCCGAGTGAAGGGCGGGGTATAAATCCTCTGCATTTTAGTGTATTTCTTTTTCAGAATAATATATTAGAACACTGAATGTAATACAAGGAATATTGGGATTTTTTGCTGCACCCACCTCAAAAAAGAAAAAGAAAAAAACGCTGTTAAGTGACCTCCATGCCTGAGAGGGGAGAATGGAGAGTAACAGTTTACTTCCTACCAGGGGTCATTTAGTAGAAAAAGAGATGCAGGGGCTCATTAGCATAACTCATTAGCATAACTTATTTGCATATGCCACACACCCTGACATCACCGAAAGTGTGTCAGAAGGCAACACCCACCGCTCAGCCTCCACTGGACTGTTTTGGATTGCCAGCTATTGGGGGGGGGGGGAACGTGCAGATCTGTCCTCACAGAGGAGGGAGAGCTTGTACCTGAATAAAACTTGGCCTTAAAGGTGCCACTGGACTGTTTTGGACTGGGGGACCGGGGGGAGGAGCTCTGCAACATACCTGGCTGCTTCTTGCTCTGACTGAGGGCTGCTGGGAGCAGGGGGTGGGGCTTGTTGTATGTGCCGCCCCCTGGGCTCTTTACTACCGGAGCTCCGCTCCTGTGCACTCCTGCAGGAAATGACCCCTGCTTCCCACTATTAGAAAAGATACCTTTACACGTTTATCTGCTATTTTGACATGCCTATTGCTTTACCACCGTTGACCTTGCAACCTTCGCTTGTTGTTTAGTTTTCTCTTTGCATATCTTAAAACATCTTCATCAGGTTACACGTTAACTTGCTGTTCATCCTCTGGCTATGAGTCTGAACCTTACCTACTGTTCCAGTGTATTTGAAGAAGTGTGCCCTTTGCACACGAAAGCGCATGCCTTGAATAAACCCTTTGTTGGTCGTAAAGGTGCCGCCGGACTCTAAATGTGTTCTCCTGCTTCCAGGGCCGGCTCCCGCTTATTTTGCACCCTAGGCGAGGATCCCTTCTGGCCCCCCCATGCCCCCACCCATTTTCTAAAATAAATGCATTATAGGAAGAATGAAAAACACAAATAATCAAGAAACTCCCAGAGTACGAAGCCGGGTGCAGTTTGGTGCCCCTAAGGGCCGTCCTGCTCTAGGCGATCGTCTAGTTCGCCTAGTGAGTGAGCCGGCCCTGCCTGCTTCATACCAACACAGCTGACCACCTGGATCTGTCACTAAGATAGAGATACAAAAGGTGTGTTTTGCTGTCCTGCTGGCAAGCTGGAGAAGGCGAGCATACTGTGAGGAGAAGGCATAGCATCAGAGAGTAAAGGGAAGGATAGTCAGTGTCGTGGCCTCTCTATCTCTCTGACTCTCTGATACACCCCCCCCCTTGAAGCAATGCTCCCGCTAAGCTGTGGAGTCTTGTGAGCAGAAATCCTACTTTGTGAGCTCCTGGCATTAAAGCTGCGAGCGAGCCATTTGGCGAGTGCATAAATCGGTTTGCGTTGGAGCCCTCCTTCCTGAGCGAAGGCAAGAAATGTGTGCGCCGGAGGCTAAAAAAACGGTGAGCTAGCTCACACTCACTCGGCTTAGGGGGAGCACTGCCCTGAAGTCTGAGGCTAAGAGACAGCGCAAGGCCCTTCGCTTCCGACACTGACTCTCCTTCTCCGTGCTCTTGATTTCAGGTTCATGAATCACAGGGTCCCGTCCAACTGCAGGTATCAGCCGACGGAGTACGAGCACGCCGCCAACTGCGCCACCCATGCTGTGAGTTGGGCTCGTGTTTCTCCCCCGGGGAGCGTGAGAAGAACTGGGAGTTCAGAGGGGGATGTGGAAGAAGGCTGTCAAGCACCTAGTCCCTGTGACGCAATGGGAAAATTTATTTGTTGGCCTTCTGCTTTTGAGACGTCACCAGAGGATACGAATCTCTGAGAGACATTTTTTGTCCCACATCTTTGTTCAGAAGAAGATCTTCCTTCGAAACGGCAAGACATTCCGGAGATCACCGTCGATATATTTTTCTATGATTATGTATATTATTTTTGGTTCACTTTCCTATGATTCTTTAAAGACATATATTAAGCGTCACTTTTTCACAGCTTTTCTTGTCCTCCGTATTATCTCATTACTGTGCCGATCAATTGTTATTATTCCACGCACAGTGCCATATTTAATTTATTAATTCATGTCAGTGCCAAATGTGGGTGGAAATCTGCCCATGACAGGCATTTTCTTCCGTCTCTATCCCTCCTAGTTCTGGATCATCCCGAGCATCCTGGGAAGTTCCATACTCCACGTCCTCTCCGACAACCAGTGGGAGACCATATCGGCGTGGATCTACGGCTTCGGACTCACAGGGCTATTCCTCGTCTCCACCATCTTTCACACCATCTCGTGGAAGAAGAGGCACTTAAGGTAACGCTGCTTTGAAAGTTCTGCCTCCCTCCAACTTGGCTACGAGCATGTTGCGTGTTTGCCCATAAGCCTGTCCAGGGGTCATTTCCTGCAGGAGCCATCTCGTGGAAGAAGAGGCACTTAAGGTAACGCTGCTTTGAAAGTTCTGCCTCCCTCCAACTTGGCTACGAGCATGTTGCGTGTTTGCCCATAAGCCTGTCCAGGGGTCATTTCCTGCAGGAGAGCACAGGAGCGGAGCTCCGGCAGTAAAGAGCCCAGGGGGTGGGCATATGCAACAAGCCCC